CCGAGCAAAAGCAGGGACCAGGCCTTTCAGACGATTGCACAAAGGCATCAGAATCTGGGACATTTAAATGGCTTCACATGTGTAGTTTGGCCCAGTTCCTGGAATTTAGTATTAGTGATGAGAAACAACTCTTTCTTCTAAAAAATGTAATCGCAGAGTAAACTGCTCCAAGTTAAACCATTCATTCACTGAGTTACAGAACATATTTGTCAAGTGGCAGCATAATGAACACTGACATTATATCAATACAGGAAGAGTTACAGGTTCTTCCTCCCGGTATATTGCTGGGCAAATATTAGCTTTTCTCATTATGACAATGCAGGCTACATAGCAAATTATTTCATTAAATGTTGGGTCCGATCATACCTGGAGCCAACGCGTGTGCTTTGGAAGCTTTTGAACAGGTTAGGTAAATGAATAAAGCATCAAGGGGTTTGTTTATGTTTCCTCAAAAGGACAAACGTCAAACTTTCAATGTTTTTTAAGGCCTGTGGGAGCCCCAGAGGACAGACGGGTCAAACAAAAATCTGATTTGCATTGTGACTGTGGGGTAGGAATACATCACAAGCAGACAGCCAGGGAATTCAAAATAAGACGGGAGAACTGGGGGGTATTTATTCAGAAAACCAGTTTGTTCTAGAGTCATAATTTGCCTGGCTATGCTGTGGTTCAACAATCTGCGACTTCTGAGGCAGAAGTGGGATAGTGAACGATGCTCTTACAATATTTTTCAGCTGGGGTTTCTCCTTGTCCTGAGATGTTCTACATAGATGTCCTTGTTTACTTTGAGCTCTGCTCATTAATAAGACCAGACTGTCGCTGACTGACCTTCTACTGGCTCTAAAAGCAGAGTATAGAAGTGTGTGTGTCTCTGTGTGTGTGTGAGGCGTACTGTACATGTGTCAGAGGCGAAACGCACAAGGTCCTGCAGTGATGAATGAACAGTAAGCCAGCCTACAGTGTGTGTGGCTCATAAATGTAGCCTCCAGTGTACAGAAGCCTGTATGATGCTCAGTTTTCTGTGACAGGGCTGTGAAGCTCAGCCAACTTTCCTTTCAAGAGCACACTTTATCTTCTGGACTTTTATCAGAGCTGATATCATCCAGTTAGCGAGAGGAAAATGCACTGGCATGTTGCTGGAACCTGACCTGGGAAAACGTATATACTGTATATGCAGGATATACAGATATGTAGTTGAATCTATATTTCCTGCACAGTTCTTTTTATTGGGCCTAACCCACCTCCAATAATTCAGGCTGGGTTGGACTGCACAGCAGCACAGCCTCACGTGTGAGATGTTGCAACAGGCTTGATTCATTATTGATTCATTTTTTTTATTTTTTTTAATTGATTTCAGTCAATTTCATGCCAGTTCCATCTGCAATGGCCTCAGAGTGAAGCAGCTAAAAGAAAGTGTTACTGGAGGCAGCTCAGCTCACATTTAATGGAAAACACGTAGGAAAAATCCACTAACATAGTCAAATCAGCAACAGTACAGAAACTGCATATGATATTTGTCTGCCATGGTAAAAAATCTGATTCTAAATTCAAGCCCCATCATCATCATCATCAATATTTGAGACAATATGAAGCTCAACTGACCTCACAAGGTCCCGCATGTTGAAGTAAAACTGGACGGGACAAACTCAAAAGCTTTGGGAAGTTAGCGTAAATGCATTTGCACAGTGTGCCAGGCTTTTGTCAGGACATTCATGAATCTCAGCCAATGCAGACAGACCAGCCGGTTAGCTGGGGAGCACAGCAGGCGGCAGGTCAGGCCTCTTTTTAATTCTAACCATTGCTCTCATCTTCTCCAACCTCCACTTAACTGAGACACCTCTGCTTCGACAGGCATCCTTAATAAGAGACGGCAAACGTGCAAATTACCTTTCTGTCAGTGTCACGGTGGGGAAGCTCTGAGGCAGCTCAGGTTTGATAGAGCGGTATGAACTACTCAAGCAGGCACCGTATTCATGGGCACATGATTACAGCTTACACTACTTGTAGGTGCTGTATTAGATACAGTTGTGTTAGCACGGAACAGAAGGTCAACCCCTCAGAGAAAGACACTCTTATCTTGTGCTGAGGTCAGAGCTGTACGCCTGCATCTACATCTGAGGCGGGCCACCTGGGTGTTCTGTTCTATCAGCAAGTTGTGAAAACTAAAGCCCTAGTGACAAGTCACTAAAGTACAGAAGTAGCAGGCAACACTTGTCAGAAAGCAGGTACATATGATGTTTGTAACACATAATGTGCAGGGTTCCCCAGGGCCTCGCACGAGGTAAAGAAATATAACATTAGCCTTCAGGGGCAAAGTGCAAAAAGCCCTCTATCACACAGCAAATGCCAGATATTTAAATTGGAAATAGACATCTTTTTTGCTCTCACTTATTGAGAAATAAATGTTGATAACACAGTTCAGTGGCTATAGAAAAATCCACGTGTATATCTGTCTGCCACCAGGTACGATATTTCATAGGAAAATTAAAATGAATTTTGTAAATTAAATAAATGAACAGACTCTCGCTTCTTCTCCTAATGTTGTCCTCTAATGTTAACATCACCCCCCCCACTCCCCCCCCCCAACCCCGACACCAACTCCTGATGTAGTTAGTTGTTTGTGCTAAGCAATAACATTACTCAGATGTGTTCCCAAATGCAATATGAAATTGTGACAATTTCAGTTTACGTCTTCAGTTAACATGCTTCTTTCTACTCTTATTTTGAAAGTTGTGCTGAGGAAAATGGAAAGCGAAACATTGGGATATGCCAATATTTTTTCAGGTTTTAGGAGCATTCTTTGGATATCTATACAGCACATTTGAATTATACGCTTCAGATTGGGTTTTTAGCACAGTTTGTCAGAACTGTTAAACTACTTTCACATGTTTATTTTCCTGTTTTTGGTTAAACTCGCCCTTTAATGGCTCCTCCGCTGGAGAAAGTTGGCCTCCTTTCTTAAATCAGCTGTCTCTTATCAAATTGTTTTGAAGGTTGACAGTTGTTATCACACTGATGGCAAATATGTAACAGGCTTTCCCCAGCCTATAATCCCATTCATAACATCTCTTCTCATTTAACATATCAAATCCAGACTTGAGCTGAGAAAAGCAATCCTTGGAGAAGATCTGTGCAGAATAAGCTGGCTTTATCAGACCCACAATCCAGCCTGCAAATTAGCTGTAACTGCTGATAACAACAGAACATAGAAAACATCACTGTGGACTTTTGATGGGGATTTGTCAACATCTACAGAATAAAAGATTCATTGATAATGACAACTATTGTTCACAGAGCTATCTGATACACTATTCCAGTTCCATTCTGCTTGAGGAGATACGCGTAACAGGCGTTTTATAAGACAGGTTCTAGCTAACACATCAAAACTCAACTCTGCCTTCACTTGGTCCTTCTCACTACAATTCTACAATCAGTCCAGTCAAGCAAGTTTACTCGATCGGGGCAAACCCCACCACCATCCAAAACTCACACCAACACATACACACACATACCTTCGGTGAAAGGCTCCATTCAGCAGATCTGCCTCATTTGAATTAGAGAAGCTACTATTGTCTGCCAACCCCGTTTTGGTGAGGTTTTTGGAATTCTTCACCCAGCTCCAGCCTCTGCCTCTGAGTCATCCTCTTTTTAAGACCTTTGCCTTGTTGCCTCAGTTCAAACCAAAGAAATAAGCTAATGTAGTTATTCCAAAATGGGACTTTCCATCCTACTGGTAGAGAAATAATATCTCTCCTGTTCAGACAAATTGTTAAGTTTTAAGTTTTTAAACAAAATGACAACTTGTGACACAATTTTGAGAAATACATACAGTATACTGTATGGGGGGCAGTATATTTAGTCTTTTATTATAGTTCTATTTAAGTCCTTAATGATTACTAAAGGGTCTTTAAAACAGCAGCAAGAGTCGTTTAACAAATGTACTTCTATTTATTTGTCAGAAAAACTTAAGATTTGAAAATGTTTGACTTTGGCGTCAAATGGACCAATTTGGGGTTTTGTTTTGTCTTATTTTGAAAACTAAGACACAATAGAATAACTTGTATCATCAACATCATTTGAAAGAAACCATTAGTTAATGAATCAATTTACCAATCAACAATGGCTGAACAAAATAAATGTCAGATCATTTCAGTGGTTTACCAATAAAAAGATGCCAAACTTCTGCTAGTTCCAGCATGTGAACTGTGAAGGTTTGCTCCTGTTCGTGCTTCATATCACTGTATTTGAACGTCTCTGGGTTTAGTGTTAGTGTCAACTTACCATTGACAGCTCCTATTAGTCATACAACGAACAGAAACTGAGAATGAAAATAATCACTAGTTGCAGCACTACATGCTTATAACCACATACCACTATTACACATAGGCGCTTTAAACTTTCATGTAGAAAAAGATGACTGCATACATTACTTTAGGTCTACAAAACACTGGGACCCCCCAAAAAAACCACCCTGCTCTTAAATTAAAGACTGATGAAGTGAAGTCCTCACCATGATGCAGACCCTATGTTGCACCTTTAACTGTGTGCTTACGCCTGTCAACCTGTGAACGCAGCACCGCCCGCTTCATATTTTTTGACAACTTCCTGAAGTCCGTGTTATTGTAACTTTACTGCGACGCCCAGGGCTCGGGTTAGCTACGTGGCTTTATCCCGGTGACCTACCAACGCTGACACGGTGCTACAGAAAGGTCCATTTTGTAAATCACATCTCACACACACACGGTATGGGAATGTAAAGGGTCGTGTTTTGAAAGAGGGAGGGGGGGGTGAGTCGAGAACAGAAGCACTGGGAAGCACGCAGCGTTTCAGCCGACCACCAATCTCTGCCTCCACTGCAGCGACCAAAACTAACGTCAACATTTGAGGTATTTTTGGCTGTTACCGTCACCCTCGTTACACAGCGAGACGACCTATAACACAGCGGGTAGCCGCGGAGAACCCCCGCCGCTACGCCGAACCACCCGTGGCCGAGCCCTTACCTGTATGAGGGGGATGCCGCCCGGTCCGTCCACTGTGTCGGGCGAGTTGTCGAACACTCGGTCCCGGTACAAAGACCACAGCCCGACGTTGGGGAGGAAAAGAAGAGCCGCTATGAGCAGCCCGGCGAACTGCAGCAGCCTCTTTTCTTTCCGCCTCATCTCTCCGGGAGAAAGCGTGTGTGTGAAGCAGCGGCCGGTGGAAGCAAGCAAGTCCCGAACCCCCAGCTTTTCCAAGCGGAGACAACTTTCACTGTGACTGGGGGACGGACACGGGCGCTGTGACGCTCCACGGCTGCGAGCTCTGCCGCTAGGGGGAGCGAACCACTGCGCTTCCGCCAGAGCGGGGTCGAGGAGGAGGTGGTGGGGGTGGGTCGGGGTGTTAGGCCAACAGAGAGGACTTTTGAATGAGATGTAACGTCTCTTAAAATCCACTGAGTTTGCCTTGTGTAGTCGCAGCCGGTAGGTGACGCAGTGAAATGGACTAATAGCCAGAGGAAACCTGAAATGCATCATCATGAAAAGTTATGTATGGTGATTTAGTTTGACGACTTGTGCTGCCTTCAAATGCACCTCGGAAATACGACAAACGCTTTTTTGCAGTATTATAACCTGTAGCGTTTACCCAGTAGATCTGCACTAGTTCAGCGTGGAAGCACATGAAAACTTGAACATCGTCTTATGAACATACACTGACATGAATTATTCCTTTTGGGGACTTAAATTATCATAAACATTTATTGTCAAACCCTTCAACTTTTGTCACATCTGATTGGATTGACTTTTCTGTCACTGTTAAACTAAATATGTGAACCAATATGACTATATTCAATCTTAAATTCCAGTTAGGGTGTGGAAATTGAATTACAGATCCCTTGTATATGGCACTGTGTTCAATGAGTAAATGGAAGAGTATTAAAGTCACTTTCACATGTCATACAGTCCCCACGGCAACACAGAGTGGCCAACAGGTGGCTTGACATTGATCCATGACAAGCAGCATTAAAGCAGTTCTGGAGGCACATAACACCTTACTGAGACACTTTATGTTGTTTTTTTCATTTAATTTGTCATCCATCTATATATACTGTAGCCTATATATGTAGCTGTGGAAAATACACTGAAAAAGCCCTCTGGGCATATGGACGCCTGCCTCGATGTAGGATTTGTCAGCCTGATCAAAATCTCAGGGACATCAAAGCATGTGGTTGTGAGCAGATTTTCAAATTATTTTGATTTGATTAAATTTTTCATTCATATAAATATGTGTGTGGTTAGTTAAGTAACTCAGCCACTTGTCATGTCACGTTGCTTATCTTCTCTTTAGCCCTCAGCTGTCTTTAAATTCCTCTGCTTAGATTCTTTCTGAATCTAAGTACACTCCATTGCACAACAGTTCTTTACCATTTTAGTCCGCAAAGGCAGATGCTGACTGTTTTGTGTTTGCCACTCAGCAGGGAATAACCGTGGTGACTTCTGCATTCGGTGACGTCACATGAAAACGCTCCACTCAGCTGTACTGTACAAAGCATGTGCAGTGGAGATGTTGAGCCACATCTGGATGATTTGTGAAGAACATAAAGCTTTTTGGTTGTGTCCTACAAAACATGCTGCTGAGAAATCCCTCTAAAAAAGTTAGCTCAGCGCTACAACAGTGTGTAAAAACCCTTCATTTTGCCATATTCATAACCTGTTTAACTTGTTTTAAACGTGCATAACATTTCAGTGCACATGACTCGACCTTCATAATGGCACAGACTGAAATATGTCACTTATTCAAATTAAAATCTCAGTGCAATCAAGGCATGCTGGAAATGTCATCAAAAGAAAGCTGCACACTGAAGAAGGTATTTACTAATCCAGTGAGGGCCAAACAACAACCATCTGTTCCATCAAGTTTCTCCTGCAGCCCCTTCAACACAGCTGAGTGAGTGCCAGCAGTGGAGGAAATAAAGCTTAATCGTGTCTATGATGGAAATCCAAGAAGCCACCATATCTATTTTGTGAGGACAGAACAAAGCCTATGTTTGTTGTAAACTGGCTGAAAGCATGCATTAGTGCATTTCCATATCTATTCCTTGTTTGTGGAGACACATGTTTGGATTCAAAGGATGATAGGAGGTAGATAAAAGAAGCTGAACAATAAATGATTTTTCCATCAAAATCACAATTTGAAAGAATGTAATTTTCAAATAGCAAAGCTGTGGCTTCAGTCATACTTTACATAATTAACAAGCTGTGAAAAGTGAAATTTGTGTTGTTGATACTGTCAGCTATAATGAGAACTATTACTGGCATATTTACAGCGACGTATCCACTGTAGGGCTTAAAAAGGCTTCCTGACCTACCACTTCACCATTTTTTCGTTGTCAGTTTTTTGGGCAAATCACTGTGGAGTCACCCTCATTTTCATAAAATTAAAATTATTTATAGCTTCCCTTTTTTGTGCTGGTGGTCATTGCTCCCTCACCTGGAATCGCAAAATAAAGAATCAGAAATACTTATGGTATATATATAAAGGTATTTATATACTAAAAATCAAACTATGCATTGTGCAAAGCTCACTGGGCCTTCACGGTTCCCCCTCCATGCACATTGGCGTTGTTTGGCTCCTGGCAAAGCAAAAGTCTCTGCTAATATTTACCCCTGCCACTCTTAGAGTGAGAAGAGAAAGTGTGTCAATACAGAAAGTAAAATAAAAACAAAAAGAAACACGTCAATTGGTAAGCAGGAAAGTGTAAGGGGATCAGTTTTTAATATGTTTAATCACAAAACACAAAAGTACATTTTCAAAGCGCACATATCATATATCATTGTCAGGGACCAAACAGTCAA